GAGAGTTAATTCTGCATTCTGTTAGGACCAAAATATCAGCATGAAAGGAAAAGCCAGATATTGTCAACCAAAAATCATCAAAATTACAGTATATTTTGTGATATAATTGTAAGATCACTTTTTTTTATAACTACGTGATTGGATAGTTTAGAGCAATCACACTCAACCGCACGAGCAATCTCAATGCCGTCTATCATGTTCAAGTTTTGAAGTGAATCAACCATTTGGAACATTCGGGCAGATATACGTCAGATCAGGCACACTTATTACAATTATGTAATTTTTATTTAGATATAGGCGGAAAACGAGTTGTGTGTTTCGTAGAAAGTTGAATTTGTGAGTGTTAATCTGAGGTTGGATTATGTAAAGTAATAAAGAAATGTATGTTTTAGTGTTACAATGTTTTACAATTTTAAATGCAAGTAATATAAACAAAAGAATATTGATTATTACATGAAATAAGAACGTTAATAATATAATATTTTTTAAATAACAAAAGCCATGCAGAATAAAAAACTTACAATTATGCCAAAATATTATCATTATTGCGGAATTGATTTCCTCTAGTCACATTACATTCGGTTCATGGCGTGGGCCGTTAAAAAGCTGATGAATTTGATTTTCATTTCTTATGATAATGATTGGAGAATGTTCATTCTCTCTAACATAAACCCTACCATAAGCAGTCCAACAGAATTTAAAATTCTTTGACTTTGCCAGATCACGTGCTAAGAAATATAAACGTGCACTTTTTGGGGTTAGGTGCTCAGATAGGAATATAGGGGTGTCTTCTTGTGTTTTATATCTAAGATGTTTCGCACATAGTTTACTTTTATGCTTCGTATTGAAAAGCTTTGCCAATTTTAACAACTCTACCTTAAGTAACGTTGATTTGGTTTCCACTACGATGGGAGGGTTTTTGTTGTCAGACTTTGACCTCACTCTATATATGTCATTGATATCTGACTTAGAAAAACTGCAGTCCACCGACTTATGCGCTTACCACACGCACAAGCTTCACCACAGTTTGGCCTGCGCAAGCATCTCGCACGTTAAAACTGTACACTTTGTGCGTTACCACACGGCACAGTTAAGTACGCGCAAGCCTCATTCTTATCGAAATCATTGACGTGGAAACAATGTTTCCTAATGAAGAAACATTTCTTATACTACTATTTTTCAAGTGTTCGCTATTAAAAAAAAGACAACGCAAAAGTCAAAATTAAAGCGATCAAAGTGTACAAAAAAAATGGCTGTTGAATAGAAAAATTCATACACATATTAATCTAATTAAGGATTTAAGAGATGATCCAAACGTTTTTCATAATTGTATACGGATGGATGAATATGCTTATGGTGAATTGTTACGTTTTTTGCCATTTTTGAGTGACGATGACAAACGACCTCATGAAACGACGAGCGAGCCTCGACACAAAGTACACTCGACTGTGGCTTGAACACTGAACGCCCAACCACACGCACAGACAACTTGTCTGAGACAAGTACGCGCAGGCCGGGCTTGCGCAGGCAAAATTTCAAGCAAGTCGAAAAGTGCGCAGGCCGCGCTGTGGGGTTGGCGCGTGATACAGTTTTACCAACTACACGCACCGTGTTCCGTGTACAAACCGGCCTGCGCAGGCAAAACTGTGGTGAAGCTCGTGCGTGTGGTAGGCCCGTTAGAGAGGTTAATCACCATCTCAATCAACTCTTCTTTATTCTCTTTCGGCATTTTTGGAACATTTTTAATTTCAAAGCTGGATTTACGACTGGCTATTTGAATTTCCTCTAGTTTGCTTTCCAACATTGTAATATAGTTCCTGTCCTGTTTTGCCTGTGTTTCAAGTTCGACTATTCTCTGCTTAAACTCTTCATTTTGCGCAGCAAGGTAAGCGACTGAACTTTCAATGTTATTGTTGCTATTTTATATCTCTTTAAGTGCAGTGTTAAGCTGCTTCAACTCTTTTGTTTGTGAAGCCGAGAAAAGTGTAAATAACTTCCGCATTTCCTCCTTAAAGTCATCCATTTGATTTGAGATTGAATCTTCTATCTGTTCTCTACTTCGTTTATTTCGTTGCGAAACAGTTGTTGTGGGGTTAGTTCGTGACAGGTCTGAGTCAGAGGCAGATTTATTTAAGACGGTGTCCATATGAATTAGCATGTCAGACTTACGAGGAGGTGCAATCACAACTGTTGATGACGCAGTTGAAACACCATCCGGATGAACCACAATATCAACGTTAGTGTGCGCTTGTGGCGGCGGCGTTCTTTTAAGAGGCATAAGAAGAGGCACAGAAAGCACGAAGAGATGCAAAATTCTTTGTTTCCAAAAGATCCACGGGTCAGCTTATTCTGGTGGGTATCGACGTTTTCATACGATTTCACTTTCCGTCCAGTATAATTAGACCCCTGTGAATACACGCCCTCCAGCAATAGTGTACGCACCTTAAAGTTGAAGCGCTCCGCCCACTAGGAAGCGCAATTGGTTGATCTTAGTCACACCTCTTGAGATGCCAGCAGCGAAGCGATGGGCGTTGATATCGATGCCGAGGAGTCGTTGTGGATGACAAGGACGGGTTGCAGCGCAGTCCGATGCAAACACCTTCTTACGTTTATGCACTCCTAATTTTTTAATTTAATTTTTTGACTTAAATTTTATCGATTATTATTTTAAATAAATTAGATTAAGGGTCTATCACTTTAAACTTCTGAACTCCTCAGAGGTCCGGGGGGAAGAGGATTGGCTGGTTTATGATTTTTTTTTGTATTGCAATAATTCCCTGAACCATTTTCCATCCATTTTGACGCGTGGATACAACCGAGCGAGCGGCTAAATGAAAACCGGGCACAGTTTCACTGACTTTGTGGCGCGCTAGAGGTCGTAATTTTTGTCGGAAATGAAAAATAAAAAAACGAATTTGTAGGTCTGGACACGCTCTACAAGTTTTATTTTAAACATTTTTCGATATCTTTCACCAGAAAAAAGTAAATAGCGAAAAAAAAAATCTCCCCAAATTTTTGATATTTTTGATCGATATCTCGAAAACGACGATCGATACGTGAAAAATGCATGGGACCTTAATTGTAGATCGCAAGAAGAGCAACAAAAAAGTATTCTATAAAAAATTTCGTATCTCAACGGGGAATCGAGTTATGATGAAAAAACTGAATTTAAGGGTTTTATCAAGATGGCGGAAATTGCACAAGGTTATTTTGGTCGACAATTTGAACTTGAGCTTTTCTAGCCACCCCCCACGTGATATCCAAAATTTATTTGGCTTTCTCGGTTCATTTTCACTTTTAAATGTATATAATGACTGGACTAAAATGACAAAACCAACTTTTGAGATATGGCCAAAAAACGGGGCGTAAACTTTAAATTGCTATTATGTAACCATTCATCACATGATTCATTCATTAAAAACTGTTGACTTGTTTAATACAGAAAATGATAAAATTATGTACCTGTTTTATGTACCAATGATTACTTAATAAATGATTACAAAAGAAATGAGAACCTTACCCTTCTAAATTTTGATTACCACAATAATTCAAATACATAGAATCGTCAATTTTTCCAATTCAGAAGTGTTATGTACCAATGACTACTTAAATGATTGTTTAAAAGCGCCTACTGACATACCTGCCGCAGGGACAATCTAGGGTGTAAGAGTGGGGATGACCCTAAATTGCCTCCTGAATTGTGAAAATTGTCCCAATTTGCCTGTGTGCCTACACACAGGCAAATTGGGACAATTTTCTAAATCGGGCCTGCGGCAGGGCGGCAGGAGCGCGCGACCACCCTTGCTCACTAGATTGTCCCAACCGCCCTGCACGTTGCCGCGTGTGTACGTCTAGCGCGATTGGGCCAATTTCTCAATCAGTCGGTTAGTAGCTGTCACACGCAGCGCACGTATTTCGATCAAGATGGCGGCAGATCATAATGAGCATGAAGTTTGGACACGAGTGATCGAAGTATATAAAGACCAGCCCCACATCTGGGATAAAAAAAAACAAATATTATTTATATATTTTTTTAATTAATTTTCATTATATAAGTATGTGACTGCTCGATGTTTAAATCTAAAGAAAATATTACTAGAAAAATAGAAATAGTTTTTTTTATTAATTTTTTCTTGTAATATTTTCTTTAGATTCAAACATTGAGCAGTTACATGCTTAAAAAAATAAAATTATGACTTTAATTGCTATTTCTTCTTTTAAATGTTTAATACTTGTAAAGGTATTCATTTGACATTGTGGGTTACATATAACGCGAAGAGATGGCGATGCCTTGCAGCTTAAGAAAGGCTAGAAAGAATTCGATACGGCTGTCAGGGCCGCGGTAGCATAATTGATCAGTGCATTCGCCCGGATAGCGAAGGGTGAGTCCCGTCTGCCGCCAGGTCCGCATGGATTTTTTTCTAATCATAAACATTACTTATTTACAATACATTTTCTTCTGTTGCCAATTCTTCACCTAGTACTTCATTTTTTACGGTAACATATTTTTTGATAACACTAAGACCATCATTAACGCATGTGTTTAGCTCAACATACGCCCGAACACTGAATAGCAGGCATGTGTGTAGAGACAAGCCGCTATTGGGCCGACCGCCGTGCACCCTAGATTGTCCCTGCGGCAGGCATGTCAGTAGCGCGTTTAACAGAAATGAAAATATGAATATATACGTAATCAATCGATTTTAATTGTTCATTTTACCAAATATTTCTCTATGACAAAATATATTATTTAAGTATTCAGTATTCGGCCGAATAATATGTAGATATTCGGTATTCGGCCGAATATAAAAAAAGCAGCCGAATACCGAATAGTAACCGAATATTCGTTGCAAGTCTAATTTGGACAAGAAAAGCAGCGGGTGGTTACAGAGTTGTCCACCCACCGCCCGCACGAGAACACGTAAACAGCACACATATAGCAAACACATATGACCATGTGAAGTGTCATCATAGATAAAAAAAAGAATTGGATTACACACCTCGGACATTTTAGCAAGATCTTTAATTGGGTAGACTTTAAGCTCTTCAACAATCCCATTATCATCTCTAAATCCACAGACAATTGTGTCTATATTAGCAAGAAATGACTGGCACCACCATTTCTTTGTCTTGTAACGTCTGTAATAATAATAATAATCACTATTAACTTTAATATTAAAAACTTTTTTACCATGTGTTTAACAGACACTTCTTTCTGTTATAAGAACCTGAAGATTACAGAAGTATTAATACTATTTGCTGAAACCAATGATTATACAGTTTTCATCAGTCTTATAGTAATACTTCTATATTACACTCTAGTGATGTAACCAATATTCGCATCCGCATTCGCATTCGGGAATATTCGCATATTTTTGAGTATTCACATTCGCATTCGCAAAATCTCTGCGAATGTTTTGCGAATATGAATATTATTGAATATTAGAATAAAACAATTTGAAGAAGTTGTAGTGCTTTCTTTCCTTATAAATTCATTGTTACACAGCTTGCATTTAGCTCGTTCAGCATCGCAGTGTGAAATAAGTCCATATGTCACTAGAATTTGATTTACTCATGATAATAAATCACTATTCAAACTCTAACCTAAAATTCACAAAGGCCGGCGTGAGCGGAATGACACTTCAGTCGGATGAGTTCATATCAACTCGGCAATTCGAACGAGACTGCCACCATGCCATAGACAATTGGCGCCAATTTTGAACGAAAACTAAATATTCGCATTTGCATTCGCGAAATGTTCAAAAAAATTACATTCGTTACATCACTATTACACTCTCATCTCAAACATTAGGTGACAGTTCACGCAATGTTTTAAAATAGTTACAGTAATATAGTATTTAATAATATGTAAACAGATAAGAATAAAAAAAGTTAAATTAAGCCAATATCCTAACAGACCTGTAAACCTATTCGCTACCTTTTTAATTCTATTATATTAAGCTAATTGTACGGCTGTCATTATGGTGATGTTGATGAAGCTAATCTTCTCTCTTCTTAAAAAAAAGTCTCAAAGCAAAAATATATAATACAATTCAGTTATTAACATATGTGCCAATGTGCAAATACAATCATTGAAAATAAATAAATTGCAGCCTTTTTGTAACATATGAGAACCAGCAATAATCAAATTATGTTCTTTGAAAAAAATTCCATTTGTAGAGGTCATTTAACTACTGAAGATTAAAGAATCCCCATCAAAGAATAATAAAAGATATCATGTTCAGTGTTTTATCTATAAATTTCTTTAGATATATATATATATATATATCTTTAATATATATAAATCTCGTGTCACAATGTTTGTCCTCAATGGACTCCTAAACCACTGAACCGATTATAATAAAATTCGCACACCATGTGCAGTTCGATCCAACTTGAGAGATAGGATAGTTTAAATCTCAAATTATAGTCGCAATTTTAATTTATTGCAAATTATTACTTTTGGGCGGTACGAAGTTCGCCGAGTCAGCTAGTATATATATATATATGTATTAATACAAGAGAGCAATCATTGTGGAGGTTGAACCTATACTAATGTTGGCCACATTATGTGTTGGAGAAACAGGTAAAACAGAGGACCAAATTTTCTCAAATATTCTGCATAAGAAAGCTAAAAGTTAAAGAAATTTAGCATGTTATTATAAAAAGCAGTCTTGAATCATAAGATTACCTAAAATTATTTTCCTGCTTAGCAAACTGAATGTGTCTACTTGTTTTCAATTCAATAAACTCTTTATCTGATAAATATTGTAAAATGTTCTCTGATGTTTGATCAGTTGGGGCACTTGGTACAGGAGCCTTATCACATCGAATACCATCCATCTCTGCACCATAAACTATAGTATGATCATTCAAATTGGTTGTAAATACAATGGAAAACTCTTTAGTTTCATCTACTGGTACATCCGGATTAGGTTCTGCATGTGGATTTTCTAAAAGACATAGGGATGTTCATTATCATTTAAATATGAAAATACAAAATCAAAATAATTTATCCTATTTCTAAACAGTAGGTAAATTTTGGTACCTGATAACATGTATTGTTCAAACTTATAGCCCCATGATGTAAACTTTTTTTCTTGATCTGTCATATTATTTTTTTGATAAATTTTCTCTTCAGTATCTCTTGCACATAAAAATATATTACCTTTGAATAAAATAACAACTATTTTCCATGGATCTTTGTTTTCATATGGTGTACATGCCACACAAGTCATTAGGCCCCTATAGCAGAAGATTTTAGCATTCTTCAAATTAGTTTCCAATGGAAAGTTAAGTCTTCTTTCGTGTTCTAATAGAAATTTCAATAAATCATCTAATTTAACATCTTTATTTTGAGGCTTGCGTATAGCTTTGTCTATGTGCAGATTAAGATCAAAATTTACATTTTCATTTTTTATTCGTCTAGCATACAATAAGTTCTCCAAACCAATATACCCTATAATTTTTGGCCGATTAAATTTGGGAAATGATGGTTTCGTGTTTATATCAGGGTGTGTATGAAGTTCTGGTTGCATTTTTAATGTTGTTTGTTGTTTTCTTATTGAAGGGATGGCTTCTTCGAGTTTTTATTTTGATTTATATATTATTTAGCCAAATCAAAAGAAATAAGTTTTAAAAACACACGGCACCGCCATCCACCACCATGAACGTGCGCTAGCATCACATAGACAAATAAAATTTTTATATTTTATCCGAACAACCCTTTTTCCTTGAGCTTTTATTTTATTATAGGCTTGCTGAAAATATATCGATGTATCGATATATCGATATTTTTTGTTCGATATATCGATATTTTTAGCTGATATATTTTGATTCGATATATCGATACATCGATACAAAATAACCAATATCGAAATTCGTATCAAAAACGATATATTTTTTTAATTATTAGCGGCATATCACGATCTAACTAAATTCGTATCTGGAAAAATCGTAACTGAAGCTCAGACTAATGATATTCAACATATCTATGATTTGTGCTGTATTTAGTATTTTCTATGATTTGTAAATCTGTTTCGCTGGTGAATTGGTTGTGCTGAATTCGATTATATTCCGTGGAAGTGTGTCTGTCTAGTGTTGTTTACGAAAGATGCCACGTAAGGAGGCCCTGCAATAATTTTCATCATTCGAAAATAGGGTCTATTTTTAGGGAGATCATTTTCGTTCCATTATTATTCCGCGTGTCATCTTTCGTGAGATATTGTACTGTCATGTAGTGTGGCGGCAATTTGGTACTTTGATAATTCTTTCTTTTATTATAATTTGTATTGTTATTATTGCTGACCTAAATATATTTTTGGGAAAATTGGTCCGATATATCGATGTTTTTTTCGCGATATATCGAAGCCGATATTGATATTTTTTAAAATATCGATGTATCGATATATCGATATTTTTTTCAACTTTCGACATCCCTATTTTATTATTATTATTTTTTTCTTTTTTTTTGGTTAATTTGTCCCTGTTGGGACGGGCAAAGGATTCTAAGTCCATACAGCCCTGTCTGTTAACTTTTCTTTCTTAAAGTGTTTTGATTGTAGCTTTTACAAATTTGTACAAAGGAATGTAGGTATCTTTATTTTGTACAGGGGCTTTTCACTTCGAACTACAATTATTTGTATGGACATCACAGAATGAATTTTAGATATGTAATATTTCACTAGATGGCGTTATTCAGATATTTTTTACGTATTATTAGTTATTCCTCCAACTTCATATATTTTTAAACAGTAACACAAAATTATACCTGTGGCTGTCAGTGACTGTAACAAAAATCAAGAAAGAAGAAATACAGCTTATCAGCATATATTATTCACAACAGATTCTATTTTGAAATAATAAACTAAAGAATTGGCTATACAGCCAATTCTTTAGTTTATTACTGTGCCCATACGGGCACAGTACCCTTTGCCTACCTAGAATGGGTAAAGAATCTAAAAAAAAACAACTATAACAAAAAAAAACTGTTCTGTTTACGCTTCGTGAATTTAATGTTTTCTTGTGATTTTTGGTGGTTTTTCCGACGATTTCAGCTATTTTTCCGGACTCCGATTCTGCTGCTTTTACGTTTTGACCCTTCCTCTTCATATCGGTTATTGATTGGCTTCACTATTTGGATTTCGTTATTCTCGAAAATGGCATCTCAGAGAAGATGTTGTGTGCCTAATTGCAACGTAACACGTACGTATTACCAATCAGTTACATATAATTGAACCTCTATAAACAATCCTTTCCTGATTTAACTATTTGACGAAATGTTTCAGGCGCAGATATAATACCAATGCATTCGTTTCCTAACCCTGACATTCACCCCGATCGATTCCGAACTTGGCTTCCGCTCTCGGAGGAGAGATATTAGCTATGGACAATAATTATCTTTTCAAGCAAGGAATAGTTTGTCAAAAACATTTTGAGACCAAGTTTCTTACTTGGACTTGAACACTTTCTCCACATGCTGTCCCAACTTTACATTTGCCAGGTAAATTTCTGATTTCAAAGTCTTTTAAAACATCGAGTAAAGAGTGTATGTAATGGTCTTTTAATAAAAATCATTGAGTTGAATGTAATTTTTATATAAATTGCTAAATATTTTTTTTATTATCAGGATTTGGTGCACCAAGGAGTGTTTTAACGGATGTCACCAACAGAATGAATATTGACCAAGAAATTGAACATTCTCAGCTTTCAATGCCTTCTACATCCACTAGTAAATATTTATTTACAAATCATTTTTTATATCACTGACATTCTGGTAGAGTGGAATGTGCACTGGTTGTCAATACCTACTGTAAAGTTCTGGGTTCGAATCCTGGTAGGGGCAAAATTCTTTTTGAATGTTTGAATAGAAGCACCAAATTTCAGATATATAAATCAGTAAAACCATTCCCTTCTTCTCTTTTGTTTTAATATAAAATTTTTTTGCAGGTGGTGTTTTGACTGAAAAGTTAGAACTACAACAAAACCCTGTAAAGAAATCGAAGATACGAAGTAAAAATAAGCTTACCGGTAATTTTTATTTTTATATAAGTATTTTTGTCTGTTATAATTATTTGATAACTTTATTAACTTAACTTTAAAAAAAATATATCAGAAATATGTTATCTATATTTTAGAGAGCACCTATCCTAATCATCTTTATTCTTTTGTTAGCTTTTTTCTTAAACTTACCTCTATAGGCTTTAGTCATGTTTTAGTTAATAAGTAGACATTACATAATGAAATGAACCTTCCACTTAGTTTTCTTATACTAATAATAATTAGTTATAAAGAAATTAAGACTTTTCACCTCACAGTGAAACTAATTTTATTGAAATGCTTTTTTTCAGCATCTGCAATGGATTAAAGTGTAACTAACTTAAAAAAAGTGGTGAAGAAGCTAACTGAAAAGAATCTCAAATACACAACACGGCTAAAGAAAGCAATGAAACTTTTATGATAGATCCGACTTGTAGATTTTTTATATAAAACTGGTGTGGTGACGTAAATAAATTATTAAACGGCACCATAAAGCTGCGTAATTGTACAAATTTTAAAGATGATATTAAAAGAATGTAATGCAAATATTTAATAATATAAATAAAAATAATTGATTTATAAAACTTCTTTATTTATTCTAACAGACTGTGTTAAAGCTACATTTTTAGACAATTATCAAAAAAAACTGTGTAAACGAATAGTAGGTAAATTATCTAATAATGTAGCTTTAACACAGTATGTTTTTTTCCTTTTTTCATATTAATAATCGCATCTAAAGCTGCCGGTACCGGTTCAGTAGTACATGACTTGTGATTATGTCATGAATCGCTAGATGGCGCTGTATGCTCAGGTTAACTGATATCTCTATTACTAGTATATAATGTACTCTATGATTTTGTAAAAGTTTTCTCAAGTCGCGCGGGATGGTTTCTTCGCCAAAAGTACTTCGAAGGTCTTGAAGCAGCAAATTTCTCTGTACTTGAAATGAACCGCAAAAGAAAAAGATATGGTCCAGGGACTGATTATCTATGTTGCAGAAGTTACAAACAGGTGAGCTGACCATCTTGAGCCGGTACAGGTGATCTTTAAAAAGGCAATGACCTATTCTAAGTCTGCTTAAAGTGGTATAAAAATCTCTTGTTCTGTACTCTCTTATCAAACCAGGAGGCACGTATGTCTTTCTGAATTTCTCCAAACCATTTTCCTTTCTCTTAGGGATGTCGAAAGTTGAAAAAAATATCGATACATCGATATTTAAAAAAATATCAATATGGGCTTCGATATATCGCGAAAAAAACATTGATATATCGGACCAATTTTCCCAAAAATATATTTAGGTCAGCCTAGCACAGTAATAATAACAATACAAATTATAATTAAAAAAATGGTTGCCTGTAAAGTCGGTTTTACGGGCGAAGATTTTACGTGACAACGTCTTTTTCTCGGTAGAATATTTATTGATATGAATATAATTAAATTGCACAATAGGAACAAGGAATTGAATGAAAATAAGAATTGCACAAATTTTAACTATAGAAATATATTTTGTTTACTAAAACATTGTACATGTAAACTTAAACTTAACACGAGAGACTCATCGTAACGTTACCGAGCGTTACACTTTTTCATAAGTGACTCCCAGCCGCAACCTAATTTAAGACGTTGTCACGTCAAAAAAATGGTTGCCTGTAAAGTCGGTTTTACGGGCGAAGATTTTACGTGACAACGTCTTTTTCTCGGTAGAATATTTATTGATATGAATATAATTAAATTGCACAATAGGAACAAGGAATTGAATGAAAATAAGAATTGCACAAATTTTAACTATAGAAATATATTTTGTTTACTAAAACATTGTACATGTAAACTTAAACTTAACACGAGAGACTCATCGTAACGTTACCGAGCGTTACACTTTTTCATAAGTGACTCCCAGCCGCAACCTAATTTAAGACGTTGTCACGTCAAAAGAATTATAAAAGTACCCAATTGCTGCTACACTACATGACAGTACAGTATCTCACGAAAGATGACACACGGAATAATAATGGAACAAAAATTATCTCCCTAAAAATAGACCTTATTTTCGAATGATGAAAATGTTTGCTGGGACTCTCAGGTGCCATCTTTCGTAAACAAGACTAGACAGTCACACACTTCCACAGAATATAATGGAATTCAGCATAACCAATTCACCAGCGAAACAGATTTACAAATCATAGACAACTAAATATAGCACAGATCATAGATGTCACGGAAAAGAATAAAGCGGTTGCCTGGTTACGTTTTTGTTCGTTGATAGAATGACAATTCTCTTGCACTCAATATTTTAAGTTTTTCTTTATGTAATAGCATCTTATATATAATCCCTAAAAATAAACCAGTGCATCGCAGGAACCAAGATTTATTTCGCAATATTAGTGGCGACCGTGACATAAATAAATTGAACATTCGAAATAAATCTTTGAAATGGATTCCTTAAAGCGAAAACGCACACAGCAAAGACGCGAATTCACTTTTGTGGCCAACGCATTTGAAACGGCGCACAGTGGTCCGGATTTTGAATATAGTGGTCTTAGGAACCAAGGTTAATATTTCGCGCTGAAAAAATTCATGCGGACAGATAAGTGAACGCTCATCAACTTTTGTTCTAGCAATTTCCATGTAATCGTATATTTTCGCGAAAAAAAATAATTAAGAAAAAAATGTATGGAGCAAAACTGAAATATATTTTTTTCTCGAAATGTTTAAAAGTGTTAGCAATGAAATCATTTGTAAATTATTGTATTACATTTATTTATTAATTTCACCAACAAATCTTTTGCATGCACTTGCAGCTTTGGTGTTTATGAACAGATTAACTTAAAATATATTATATATAAAAAAATACATGGAATCAATACTTTTTTAGTCGGTTAAGTGGTTTTGGGAAAGTACAATACTAATATATAATTGTCTATATCAACACAGACATCAAATTACAAAATAAAATAATTATTAAAATTGTTTATTGCATAATTCTTACAATAGAATGTAATAATCGAAGGTGGTTTATACTTTTAATTTCAAAAAATATGAATTAGTACACTTAAACAAGAATAATAAAATGGTACAAGTTAACTAAACATACAAAATAATACAAAGTAATAAATTAATATAAGAAAACTTAAAAATCATTCCAAAGGATCTGGCACATTTTGTGGAGCTTCTATTTCTTCATCTTCAACTTCTATTATTTCTTCTGTTATTAATAACTGCATCGCTTCTGGAAACATACTTGAAGATTTAAAATTGGCGTATTTAGGTTTCAGATGAGATATATATGGATCCGAAGATATCAAAGAATTGTGTATAATATCTTCATTATTTTGAAATCTTCCTGTTTTTCTCGTGTGGCGCTCTCTGGTATTTCGGAAGTCCTTATTTCTTGCTTCTGCTGCTTCTTCTGACAAAATTCCTATAGGAAGACAAGAAAAATGTTTGCATATGTCTGCGCCATGTATCAGCATTTTGTGTACGCTGGAAGGCATGTTGTACCAAGGGTAGTGATGTACAAAGAGTTCAGCAGTCTCCTTGCAGTATCCACGGAATCGATCGATATCGACAGCCTTTACAGAAGATAACACTTGCAATAGGACTGCGAAGTGTTTTATCAAATCAACATCAATCTTCGTTATTTGAGCTGTCTTTTCGTATTCTCGGAAAAATCTTCTGGACGAGTTCCCATCATTTGTAGTTCCAAAGCCCTGCTTCACAAGATCAATCAAAAGTCCCATCTGTTGTTTGAACTCCGATTGCACCATGTTCTTTCGAAACTTCTTAAGGTTCTTGTTTTCGCCTCTTGCACTCCACATTTCAAAATCTAAATTATACGAAATGTGTAAAAGACACTCCATGCTTCGAATCCACATATGGAGTGTTGACAATCCATATTGATATACATCTTCCCGCACAGGTCTTGAAAACATTTGAGAAAGATTATTCATTTCGCTTGGTTTTGCAAGACAAATATTGCAAGTAGCTGCCAGAGGGAGTATTTGTAATTATTGTCGTCACTTTCCCATCAATCATTGTCATGTGTAGCTCATGAGTAACTTCCAAGTTTCCGCAACTTGAAACAGTAAAATTTTGTATTCCTTTCTTCATTGCCGCTTGTTCTTGCTTAACAAAGTCAGTTATTTCCTTCGCAAACTGAAATTTAATAGGTCTGCAATAAAACGTTGAAGATGACTTTGGATTATCCCAAATAACAATATTTTCGGCCTCTAGCTTCAGGGGAACGAGGCTGGTCATGAACACAAAGGAGTCGTCGAATTCTGCCATTTCACTTCTTTGCTTGTAGTTGCTCTGTGCTGAAGAACCATCAAATCCCCATTTACTGGTCAGCTTCAAGCTTCCACTGGAAATATTTAAATCATCACCCAACACTTGCAAAATCCTTCGCGTTGTGACATCTAAAAGTGCTTGTAGTTTCACCTTCGCTCCATCTTCTGATATTATTATATCTCTGGCATCTGGATAACACCTTTTCTTAGCTTCTAACAACTTGTGGTAAGACGGAAGCTTCAACTGTTGTGACAATGCAGACCGTAAAGTGAGGTACTTCCACTTTGAAAGATCCAATGAAGTAGTTAGGGCCAAAACTTGATCTTCCTGCATAGTCTCTTTTTTTTCGTTCATAAATAAAAATGATTCGACAACTCCAACCTTTTCAGGCTTCTTCATAAGATGATCGATGATGCGAGCAAGAACTTCTTTTCCATTAGACTTTAGTTTGGTGATAAAAGCAAAAGTCAGTTCCTCTTCCGGATAGTCAAGTAATGTACCCGATCGCATTTTCTTCTGCTTGTTTCCTAGGTCTTCAAATGGCTTTCTTGATACGATGTCTGTACAAGTGCTCATATCAATAGTCGCCTTCGAAGTAGATGCAAAGGGTAAAACAGCTGCTTCTTCTTCTGTGGAACGATGAAATTTTCGGCCTCTTCAAAAATTTCGGAGAGATTCACGGATTCGCATTCAGGCAACTTAATTCTTGTTTCTAACCAGTTCATATGCTTTTTCATGAATGTGTTTTGCACCCTGTGTGCTTCGGTCCATCTACGATTTAAGTTGATAGTGAGAGATCTTGCAAAATTCTAAATTTTTTCAGAATCTTCTTGCGAAATATCAAGCAAAATGCAGTCCAAAATTGCTTGATGCAGTCGTTTGTAGTCCTTGAGGTCCCCTTTTCGTAGAAACACGTAAATATCCAGGTAAGTACCAAATCCAGCCATGATTAAGTAGGTAGTTTTCTTCAGGTTAAAATTTCCAGGTATGTTGACTCTTCAAGATTTGAATGTCTATCGACGCTCTAGCCGGACCTCCCATCTGTTTTATTTTATTTACAAGCACGCAACTAGCAAGGGTCTTAACGAGAAAAAGAGAGCAATAGAGAAAGAGATAGCATTAGTAGAAAATGAAAGAGATAGCAATATTAGGCAATGGGAGGGGGAAATTAGCAGCCAATACGTCATTCGGTCACTAACTGCGCTTTAGGTAACAGCGATAACCACTAAGAAGTAAAATATGAAAACAATTTGTATCTATTTTTCGAAATCATTTTAATTTAGGAAATAATGCATTTTAAAGTTTATAATATTGAAAATATACGAAAATTATGTGACTATAAATGATTAAAAACCTTTAAATGACACAAATAGTTAGAATTAAAAAATTGAAACTTCTGATGCCTATTTCGGCCAAGGCTGCAAGTGCATGCAAAAGATTTGATGATGAAATTAATAAATATATGTAATACAATAATTTACAAATAGTTTCATTGATAACACTTTTAAACATTTCGAGAAAAAAAAATATTTCACTTTTGCTCCATACATTTTTTTCTTAAATATTTTTTTTTTCGCGAAAATATACGATCACATGAAAACTGCTAGAACAAAAGTTGATAAGCGTTCACTTATCTGTCCGCATGAATTTTTCCAGCGCGAAATATTAACCTTGGGTCCTAAGACCACTATATTCAAAATCCGGACCACTGTGCGGCGGTTCATTCCAATGATGAGGATGAAATAGAAAACGCCTTTACGATGCTCTCTGAAACTGCCGATAAATTGTTCGCAACTGAAACGGCCGTAAGAGATATGTGGTGTGAAAGCGAAGATTTCGACGAAGCTGTTTTTGAGACTGACCAATATAAAAGCTTAGAGTACCGGCAGAGATGGCTAAACCTACAAAATAGGTACAGGAAACTGGTAAAACCATCAATAAGCGACGACGGCTCTACAGTCAAGTCAGTACATGAGGGTTATGAAGGTACGTCCAAAAGACGCATTAATATACCAAAATTGGACCTAGTCAAGTTTGACGGCAACGTAAAAAATTGGCTACTCTTCTGGGGTCAGTTTAAAAAGATCCACGAGGATGCTGATCTGGACGACATAGACAAGTTCCAATTTTTAATGCAATCAACAACAGTTAATTCAAGTGCTCGCCAATTAGTTGAGACATATCCGCCTTCCGGTGAAAACTATTATAAGGCTATAGAAGCGCTTAAGGCACGTTTTGCTCGTGACGATGTTTTGATCGAAACCTATGTGCGAGGTTTACTTAATCTAGTTCTTATGAGGCAAAAGGGCCAAACAAGTGACTTAACGTCACTTTATGATAATCTCCAAACGCACTTGCAAGCTTTAGAGACGCTAGGAGTCGCCAAAGATAAGTATGCGTCAGTTTTGTTTCCCATGATCGAATCTGCTCTGCTCTGGAAGACATTCTGAGAACATGGAATCGGATACGGGCACAAAACAAAAGGCGACGATCTAAGTAAGTTAATTGAATTTCTGAGACAAGAAGTGGAGTCTGAGGAGAGTCCAGATGGCACGCGATGGCTTCATCAGCTATGATACTCCAACGGGTTTGAACCAGCCGACTGCTTGTTTTATGTCAAATTTAAAAACTGATAATAAAAATTATAAAAAGTCTTGCCGATTGTATTTAATTATATTTAATTGTTTAACCTTCCGGTTCTTCCTCCCCCGGAGGATTAAAGAATAAAGCGGTTGCCTGGTTACGTTTTTGTTCGTTGATAGAATGACAATTCTTTTGCACTCAATATTTTAAGTTTTTCTTTATGTAATAGCATCTTATATATAATCCCTAAAAATAAACCAGTGCATCGCAGGAACCAAGATTTATTTCGCAATAATAGATATATTGAATATCATTCATCTGAGATCCAGTTACGATTTTGCAGATACGAATTTAATTAGGTCGTGATATGCCGCTAATAATTAAAAAAATATCGTTTTTGATACGAATTTCGATATTGGTTATTTTGTATCGATGTATCGATATATCGAATCAAAATATATCGGTTAAAAATATCGATATATCGAACAAAAAATATCGATATATCGATACATCGATATATTTTCAACAAGCCTACTTTCTCTTGCAGAGATATCTTCCAGTGGTCGAGCGGCGAGCCATTGGGTCTTGATTAGTGCTTTGCACCGGAGACAAATTTCAGCTCCGGTTTTTTAGAACAGGCTTTGTAGAAAAACCGGAGAATCTCCGGAGAAATGTATTTTTTGTGTCCTTCTACATGAGGTGTTTTTAAAATAATCGACGAAACTTCTGAAAGTGGTTCTACTCGTGTATACAAACAACTTTTACTATCCTAGGGCCAACTTTTTATCTCAACAAAAAAAAAACTGCTGTTCCATACCTACATTTTGAGGTTGAGTAGGAATTGACAGTGTGTATGGAACAGTAGTTTTTTTTTGTTACCTAATAAAACTTAATAAAAGGTGATCTGCAAGGAAGGGAATTTTTTTCGTTGCCTATGACTGCAAGTTATCGAAATAAAAGAGACAAAAATTTAAAAATATTTGACATGTAATATTTAAAATATTTAACATAAATTAAAATTCTTTCCTATCAACATAATTAAACCTTAAAAGAAATAGTAACAGAAACATCAACATTAATTCAAATTTAAGAGAAATAGGAACACGAACAAATTTGGGAGCTTAAAACAATAAATAAAAAAGAATCTACAAAAGAAATTATTAACTAATCGAGCAACCACTGATTTTGGTTTAAAAAGCAGAGCATTTCCACTGCTTCGGACGTCAGTGAGCTGCGCCTATCGTTTATTATATAACCTGTTGCCGAGAAAACTCTCTCAGAAGGAACTGATGTGGCAGGAATGGACAAATATTTTTGTGCGATGACATCCATAGGTTTCAAATGATGAAAATGCATCCAAAAATCTTTCACGACATTGCTTGTGTGCTCTCCAACAAAGCGTGTTTCAGCATACATTTTTATTAAGTTAATAGCAGTGGCGTCAGTTTGCGAGCGAGTTGGCGCTTCTTTCTTTTGTAAATATTTGAAGAGCTGTGGGTCAATTATGCTTCAGTAATAAAATTCTAATGTGATGTCAATATGATGTTGATGCCAAGTTGACATTGTTTTTATATGGTATTATGAAACATTCCTATGTCACATCAAGATCATATCAATATCATATCCTGTATCACATTTTTGACGTTTATGCGATACTATTTTAAGTCAAAAAGTTGAACGTAATACGCATTTAAGTTGATATCATTTTATAGAGTTGATCATCATCATAGCATAAGTTGATGTCATTTTGATATCGCATTTTTCGGAGAGCATAATACGTAATGTGAAATAGACATCAAAACAATATCACAATTAGCGAGCATAATTGGCCTGCTGCGGTAATTCATCTGCTGCGGATGCGGATGCTTCGTATTGCAACGAAGAAGGGCCACTTTGAGAAAGCTCATCATCTACAACATTTTGAGAACGAAATTTGTTTTTTAACTCTGCTCTGACTGCATCCTTTGCAGCTTGTTTATTTTCAAATTGTCGAAATGAATCACGAAAATATAGGTGCAGCTATGTTGCTATTCTGCATGCAGTTCGTGTTTCATATTCCAGCAATCGAGCCGATGTGTTTTCACGTATTCTCAAGAAAAGCCCATTTCCTTCAGTTGTTTTAATATTTTCTTGAATTTCGGTAAAATTCTCATAAAACCCGCGAATTATGGGGATGATAAGTGAACAAGTTGAGTATTGGTCGCTACTGATCATTTTTGTAGCTTGTTCAAAAATGTTCAAAATAACCACAGCGTCTTTGAGCATGTTTTCCTCATCTACACTTAATACATCGGGAGCTTGCGGATATCTTCTTTGGACGATAGGCAAATATTCACTGAGCTCCAAAATCCTTTTAATCATATAAAAGCAGCTATTCCATCTCGTTGGAACTTCTTCTAAAAGTTTCAGAGGAGTTTTTTCAGGGTTTCGTATCATTTGTTCATTTTTAGGGCTTGTGCGCCCACTGTTGATTTTCGAAAAAATTTAACAATATTTTTACATTTCTTCGTCAATTCCTGCATGGGAAGATAATCTAAAGACTCTTGCACAACCAAGTTCATAGTATGTGCAAAACAAGGCATGTGGCGGATTCCTAACAGTCTACACATTTTTATCATGTTAGCTGCATTGTCGGTTACCATGGCAATAATTTTATCTTCTATGCCCCATTCCGAAGAAATTGCCTTAATTTTTTCAGCAAGATTTTCAGCGGTGTGCGATTCTGGCATAGCGGTTGTGGTCAAAACGCAGCTGCGCAAAAGTCCGTTATAAAAAAAATGAGCAGTAACTGTGAGGAACGCCTCCATGTTCCTGCTCATCCACAAGTCACTGGTAAGCACGGAGGAAAAACAAAGAGGAGGTGTGGTGATTAAATTTCCTCAAGAAACGACGCGTGATAATTTGCGGGATGCGGGGTGTTCAGCTCCGCCCACTTCTCAATATTTCATCTATCGGCTAATAGCAAAACTAGCTTAGGTTGATATTTATGTTACTACGTAGTAGTTCAGCTATCTAACACTAGATGTCAAAAGTTTTGTTTATAATGGGACGTACTCAGAACTTGAAGCTTCAAAAAAATTAAATATGTAGGTAAATAAATAAAATAAACGTTGACAAATTCGACCGATTTTAAAAATTTTAAGGTATAAATTTTATTATTTTAAAACATGTAACTGCTTGATGAAAAAAAATCCAGGCAGACCAGGCAGCAGACGGGACTCGAACCCGCACCCACTCCCGTCTGCTGCCTGGTCCGCGTGGATATTTTTCTAGTTATATTTTCTTTAGATTTAAATTTTAAGGTAGTTTAAAAATAATAGACAAAATGTTATTACAAACATAATTTTATTAATAAACATCAATTACCTGTAAATAATAGCTTTGGTTAGTTGTTGTCGGTTGGTTGCCCTATCGTTTTGTATTGTGGCAAAATGCTTAAAACGAATATCAATATATTTTTCTGCAATCGATTTCATCAGAAATACAACATGATTAACTGTAGGTGATTGGTCAAACATATGGTTGGCCGATTTTTTGAAACAATCTTGTCCAACAAGTGATTTTAATGTATTCGATACAATTTTATGTTTACGAAAGTTAGGAGTATTCAAAGATTGCGATTTAACACAACGAATACTGTCTTCGGTCCGTATACATATTTTTATGACATCTCTAGATGGGAAAGTAAGACCACCCTTATTTTTAGATTTTATCAAATCAAGGTCACTATCGTCGTAGTTATCAGCATATAATTCTTTGAGACAGCTCTCACATTTGATCTTGGAATGTAAATATTTGACCACATACCCAGAAATATATGCTACTATTTGACGGCGCAAATAGTCACCTATAGTTGTATTTAATTGTTCATCAAATTCCAATAACATATCGTCAGGCATAGGCTCGACATCCGTGCTATCCGAAGACTCGAAACTCATTTTATTTAAAATGCGATAACGTTCTGATGTAATATAAATTTTTTGCACAGAAGATTCATTTAAAATGGAAATATCTTCTTCTTCTATGGTGTCCAATCCGGTCTATTAAGTTTTGAAATCCATTGCTGTTTTAAATTATCGTTGGATGGAAATCTAAAACGAACATAAAAATAATTAAAATTTATTTACTTGGTAAAATAATTTAATACGTATTAGGGCCCTGGATATTTGTAACGTTTAAAAAGTTATTCTATATGACGACAGATGGCGGCCAGTTAGTTATATATTGATAAAATTACTGTTTTAGATACTAAAAGTTATTTAGGAATAAGTGTATAACAGTTTTCAGTATTCACGTATGATTATTACAATATACTACTGCAAAATTATACGTAAACTTGTGTATTTTCTTCCTAAAAGTGTCGCCATCTGGTGTCAAGTAGTAGAATTTTAACGCTGATAGCTGAGGCTGAGAATGTTCTAGAACTTATATATTTAATTACGTATAAAATTACTTACAAATGAAATGTGATGCCATCCATATTATCAGAACGTCTGTCTGAGTAACTTTGACATAGTAAAACACAAAACTTCATCCTTTTCTTGTTAAAAACGCAAAAAAAACTTATAATGCGAGTCTCGTTAAGTGTGCACCTGACGAACGCTGAAAGCATACTGACTTAGGCCCCGCCCACAATGATGACGTCAGGACCTAGTTGAAAATCACAGTGCACAGTTGCTTAGGCCAGCTCCTCTTTGTTTTTCCTCCGTGCTGGTAAGTGATAAATTGTCTATCTCATTCAAAATGTCTTTTAATTTGGCACTTGCTGATTTGTAAAGTCTGGGCATTATTTCATAACGTATCTTTCGCTTGTCAGGAATTTTGTAGTCTGGGCAAAGAGCTTCTACAAAATTCTTAAAACCAGAAT